CCCGAGGCATGGCGTTTGAGCTCGGTGATGCCAAGCTCGTTGAGGATAAGGCCCTCGTTGTTGAGCACCCAATCCTCTCCACCATAGTGAGACACATCGTCGCCTTGGAAGGGGAGGCCGGCGATGCGCCCAAGCTGCTCCACGGTGAGCTCGATCGGCGTGCTCTTGACGAGCGAGTAGAGCACGTCGTCCTCACGCCGGAGGTTGGAGTAGAAGGCCCGGATCAGCGCCGGGTTGATCTCCTTGCGCGCCCGGGAGACGAACGGCCAAAGGCCGGCTTGATGAAGCTGCGCGTCGAGGTCGTCGTAGCCCTGCAACTCCGGGTAACGCTCCGGGATGATTCGTGGGGGAGCCACAACCCGTTTAGAGAAGAAGGTTAGGAAACGGGTGCGCTCCTCCTCGGAATCAAACCAAAGGTATGACCCGTCGCCATAGTAGAGGCGCTCCTCGGAGGATGACGTAGGCGCCCGGGATTTGGACTTTGATTTCCCGGAGGTGGCGGCCCTGCTCTTGTCCTTGCCCATGATGAAGAAGGAAAAAAAAATTGTAAGTAGAGTGAGATATGCAAGAATAATGGAGAGAATTTGTGTTTGTGTGTGTAAAAATGAGGAGTGGAGGCTCCAATTTATAAAAAAGGAGGCCTCCAATGTCCAAAATTTCAAAAAATATGACTATTGGAGCAATAAATGAAGGTGCAACGGATAATTTTTTTTGAAAATCTTGACCAGAACAACGATGTTCTACTGGAGACATCGCTGTTACGACAGCGCTGTTGTGCCTGGTACAGCGCTGTTCTGCGTCAAGTTTTAAAAATTGGAGTTAAACAAACAGCGATGGTGAGTGCCTTACAGCGATGTTTCAAAAGCTTCTGGAATTGTGAAAGGGTTTGAACCCATTTCAACAGCGCTGTTGGGTGTCTATACATCGCTGTTTTGCGATAAAGAAAAAAAATGGTAAAAGAAGGACATCGATGTTGAGAGTAAGACATCGTTGTTTAAAAAGTTTCTGGTTTTGATAGAAAACAAAGTATTTTGGGTAGACAGCGATGTTTAAAAAAGAACATCGATGTTCAAAAAGTTTCTGGAAAGTGGAGATTTAAGGGACTCCCTGGGACAGCGCTGTTTGCATGGTTCCCCCTGATTTCATGAACGAGGTACCTGCAAAAAAGAAAAAGTTCTCCGACGCTCAAGTTAGTAAATGTTTAAAAAAAATTTAAATGCACAACTTAGATCATCGTGGAGTCAAGGATTCCGAGTTCACTTCGAATGCGGAAGAACGACTCTTTCTCTAAAGGTTTTGTGAAAATGTCGGCTAATTGGTTGTGTGTTTCAACAAACTCAATTTCGACATCACCTTTGAGAACATGATCTCTAATGAAATGATGCCTAATGTCAATGTGTTTCGTCCTTGAGTGAAGAACGGGGTTCTTCGTCAAGCTTATGGCGCTAGTATTATCACAACGAAGAGGGACGTGATTGATACTAAGGCCATAGTCCACGAGTTGTTGCTTCATCCAAAGGATTTGAGCACAACAACTGCCGGCGGCTACATATTCCGCTTCGGTTGTGGATAACGCAACACTGACTTGTTTCTT